ACCCTTGTTAAGGTTACTAGGCCTGTAGAGCAGAGACTTAGGCACTAGTGCAGAGATGCAAGAAATAGCCTTCAAGCTTTTCACCAGGTCTCCTTTTTCTTGTCAGTGTTACACCCTTTTAGCAAAGTGGAGGTGGTAAAGGAGGTGGAAGGTTGGGAAGGTGAACATAGCTGGGTCTTCTGTAGCAGGAGAGCACAAGAACATTTTTGTACACATGAAAGCTACCTATAGCCAAGATACTTAAGATGAAGTGTTGTATAGTGGATAGAGTTGTTCTGTGAGTCAGTAAGGCCTGGGTGCAAGCATGGGGTCTAACACATGCTAGCTAAATTAGCCTGGGAAAAAATCACTAAAGCCAGGAAACTCTCTAAGGCTTTCAGTTGGAGAGCAAGTGGAAATTTTTATTGGTAGATTTTCTTTATCAGGAGTTTCCTACACAAAAAACAAAGCAAAAAAAAAATGCAGGTGATTTAAAAAAAAAAGGTGATACAAACAATTACATATTTAGTAGTTTGCACAATGTTGGGGGGGTAATTTTATAGTATAAACTTTTATACTATAAAACTACCCTGCAAACATAATAATGAAATGAAAAAGTGAGGAGGATTCAAACAGGACTATGCAGGACAATGTGACCATAATGACTGTGGTAGTCTTGGGTCTCTGGAGATTTCTTTTGGGTGTATGTTAAGGTACCTGGCTAATATACTGTCTCTTGGGGAAGGCAGCTTAAAGAAAGGTTATATGACTCCTATCAACTTCTTCTCAAAATCATGTTCTTAAATGCATAAAACAAAATACATAGGAATACAAGGGAAAACAATTATATCAAACTATAGTCATCAAAATATTAAAAGAACAAGTTCATGAATTCTAGGCTAAGAACATCTATTTTAGTATGTCCTTCATGTCACTGTATCAGAAGTCTAGAAACAGAAAGAACTACATGGAGGAATTTGTGATCACTTTCCATTTTCAGACTCAGCCTGAATAGAATTTATTCCTATTAGGAAATGCCCAATAAGGACTTTAAGTAGCTATGCTATTTACCATAGTTTCCATTTATTTTAAACAAAAGTTGGTTAGCATTTGACTAGCTCACAATGCAATTTATTTTAGATTTGACCAAACTTCATGGCCATGGTAATATAGTCAATGGAGGCAATGTCTACATATATGACACAGAACCACTTATAGAACCATTCCAATTAACACTTTCAGCTAAACAGATTATTGGATCTACCTATGTGAAAATATCATTAAGAGTGCCTGATCTAGGGGCAGCTAGGTGGCAAAGTGGATAGAGCACTGGCCCTGAAGTCAGGAGGACCTGAGTTCAAATCCTGCCTCAGACCAAACATTTGATACTTACTAGCTGTGTGACCCTGGGCAAGTCATTTAACCTCAATTGCCTAAAAAAAAAAAAAAAGAGTGCCTGATCTTCCAAAATACACATGGACTTAACCAAGTTGAAGTCTGGAGACTGGTTGAACTGAAAGTTATAGTTACAATGATTCTTGTGCAAATGTGTGTGTAATCACACACTTGGTCAATATAATCATTTGACCATAGGTCTGAAGAAGTTCAGAAAAGAAAAGAGAGTCAAATTTCATCATTTCCCTCTTGACTCTCTTCAGCAATGACATTTCATCTAACATCTCAACTTTCTGCAATTTTGATATATACCTAGTGAATGAATCTCCTTTTCAGATGACAAATCCCTTTACAGAGGGATCTAAAAGGAAAGGATTTACTAAAATCAACTTATAAAATATAAATTTTGAGGAAGAAAAAATGCAGAGAAATCAAATTTATTTAATAATTAAAGGATAATGAGGACTACAAAGTTTATTTTACTTTTTAGGAAATGGTGAAAACAGGGATAGGGCAGAAATAATGGTAGTAACATGTAATCCAAATTAAGTATGAACTGTTATACGATGATGTAGTGGGTATTTGTGTTAGGAAAGATGGAGATTCCCTTCATTTATTATGAGCTAATATAAAATAAAATGATGCATTAATAATATTTTCAGGTTATTTTATTGTCTTTAATGAACTGCTTGACATTTTACAAATCTTCAGAGTTACCATTTTATTGTCAATACCGTATTATTTATAATAAATACACTGAAACATGAAAAGACACTTCTGATAAAAATACAAAAGATAGAAATACTTAGAAAGTAGGATGCATAACATCAATACTAGGTCTGAAATGGAAGGACAGTGAAACCTTTTTTATAACACTGGTGTGGATGAACAGAGATAACTGTAAACCGAACCATGTTATATCAGGTTTTTACTATATGATACAATTATGATTTCGGAAACATTATTTGACCCATGGTATGTCCCAATCTATGTAATAATGAGCCATATTGTAAGAGAGTTCTATCACATACAATGATTTGAAAATGATTGCCAAAGCAAGGAACTGGGCTTTTTTTTTCTGAGAATTTGGCGAGCTTCATGCTTTATTGTGCATTATAAAAGTGCCTAATCCCCCATTCAACTTCAAAAATGTTGTAAAAATATATTTTATAAAGGCTCAAGATCATAATATGTATCAAAACAATACATATTACTGTGCTTATTAAATGAATCCATCAGTTAATTGAGGGATAGTTTACTTTTTAAAGACATATCTGAAGTATGTACAAAGATTCCATAAATGTTAATAATTTGTGACCAAAATTAATTCATTTTACATTTGCAAAAATCCCTGGAGATTTTCAATTTAAAAATTTAAGAAAGTTATAAGTGTCACATGTGGGATTGGCTTTTTGTCATTTGGAGTAAGAAAGGGTACATGGCTTCAGGCTTTTTTTTTATTTTGTTTTTTAACAGGAAAGTATGGATTGCTCTCAAATGAGAAATTACAAAGTTTTGATCAATAAAAGGAATAAACCACCAAGATCTTTAGAAAGAATAAACTGCCAATATTCAAACCCAGACCAGAATGTACTAGGTACAAAAAAATATATTTATAAATGTATCTCCAAATCTCCAAAACAGATAGTCTTTCAAGAAAAACCCTTGAGGTAATTCTCCTCATTGCCCTTACAAACAAATGAACAATCTGAGTGATTATCTGCCTAGTATGATCCTTTCAAGAAACTCAGGCCTTGAGCTGAGTTCACCCAGACAGCCTTATTTGAGGCAACATTCTGTTGCTAAAATGGGAAATTAGACTTTTTGGCTGAAAAAAGGAAAAATAATTCTGCCCAAATGATTGAAAAGGTGCTATTTGTTCTGTATAATTTTAACTTCATTCCAACATGAACAATCTATGAACATTTATTAGATTAGTAAAAATAAGCACAAGAAAAATAAGAAAGGAGCGTTAAATATTACCTACATGAAGAATTCACTGTTCCAACATGAAACATTAGATTTTGTGTTTTTAAAAATCAGCTTTAAAAAAGAAAGAAAGAAAATTTCCAGTTGAGTGATGATATTTTGGCTAACAGAAAAAAATGTGTACTTTTAGGATTTTGTTATGTTCTTCCGATAAAATGTATCTATATTAAAGGCACTTCAGCATAGTATTAACTCCTTGACCTTTTCCATGTCATAGCCATTTAAGCCACTTCAATGCATCTTCCAAATGGGTGACAGATGATGAATGTTCACTTGTTGTAGATCTTAGTCCACTCCAAAAATTAAACCTAAGGATTATCCAACGTAATTAACTCTTGAATTGGTTGGAACAATTAATATCTATGATAAAAACAGATATCAAATGTGTGCCAAGAGCTTTAAGTTATTCAGGCAAATACATCAGAATAAAATTGTTATCAGAAAGTTGTTTCACAAGTGGAGATGTATCTAGAAATATGTCATTCTGGGACATGAGCTAATGTTACACATTTCATTTAAATCTAACATTTTATTAAAGTCCTTATACATTCTGCCATCCTCTTTTATTTTGTTGGTTAGAGGAAAGGGAATTCCAAATATTTTATTTTCTCAGAGAATGTAAAAAAGAAAGAGGTCAGTTTGTGGTACTCGACACAGATCATCTAATTTTATGATGGTTGATAACTGAATTAAAAGAGCTTGGGCTAGCTATAAAACAGTTGTTCTATCACAATGAAGGATAAATCCTTTTAAATAATGAAAGGCAGAAAGATATGTTACTTCTAAAATGGTAATTTCATTTTTTAAAAAGGTATTTTGGGTTTTTGATGATTAGGATGAAAATTCCTCTACTTTTATGAAATTTATATTTTTCTCTAAGCATCTTTGATGAATATCAACTAAAAATTTTGAATAGATAACTAATTTTTTTTTGATGAGGCAATTGGGGTTAAGTGACTTACCTAGAGTCACAAGCTAGTGAGTGTTATGTGTCTGAGGCCGGATTTGAACTCAGGTCTTCCTGACTCCAGGGCCAGTGCTCTGTGCCACCTACCTGCCCCCAGATAACTAGTATTTTGAAGATATTTTTAGAGTATATGGAAAACTGCATCATTTTTCTGCTAGCCAAGATACAATATCCCACTCTGAGAAAATTAACTTCTCCACAATATTTCAAAAGATTATTTTCTTCTTTTAAATGAAATTTTAAGTTAAATTTGTGGTGTTCATGAAAAGTTTTTTCATTGATTGAGACTATAACTTGACAACCTCACTATGACTGAGTTCGAAGGAGCTTAAATAATACATTCTTTCAGAAACTGATTTTAGCATTAATGAAATAAACATATTAAAAGAAAATGAAACTGCTTGGGTTGGGTGAAAAGAAAATTCCTTGACATTTACCTCAATTCACTTATCAAGAGAAAAAGAGAAAAAATAATCATAATTATTATTTTCAATTATCAAAATACAGGGCATTTTCCTCTCTAAGCAATTCTACCAAATAACCACTGGCCCAACTTAGGTGAGTTAGGGGTGGGATTATTTTGAGGAATAATACACTATACATGCTGTTAATCACACTAAAGAAAAATTCTGTTTCACTTTTACTCTAGAATAACATCAGTCCAAAACATCTATCAAGTTATTTTAAAGCATAAGCAGAGAACAAGGTGATAAGACTGTGGGCATTTCACAAGATTGCAGAAGAGAATATTTTAAAATGTCATTCCAGGCAAGGGCAGTATTTTGGGAATCACTTTAGGAGCACACATTTGTCAGCCTCGGCAAAATGCCTGCAATACAAATACATTGAGGCTATTTTGTAATTTGAATTTCCTCAAACTCACCACTTACAAAAGAAGAAAATAATTAGAAAGTAAAACAGATTGGCAACAAAGCTTTCCTCAGTGGTTTTCTTTGAGTAGCAGATTAATATTGTACACTTTACATCTGTTATTCCTTTGAAGTCAAAGCTGTCGTTCTTACCTTGAACTATACACCTGTTTCTAAGAAATAGCTCAGCTGCTCTTTATGGAATTCACATTCCATTTTACAAGACTTAAGACAGTTCAGGAGCTGCCAGGGAAAGTAAGCATCTTAATGGGTTAATTTATGGGAATGAGTGGCCTTTCCTCTCTCTTCTTCCAGATATTAGTTTTACTATCTTTCTTAGCCAATGGGGTTCTGCCCCTTTTTTTAGTAGGGGACATACTGGCTTCCAAATCTTCAGCTGTGCTTTTTCTTCTTGGCGATTCTTCCACAGGCTGTTCCATGATAGTCCCACTCCCTCCATCTAGAATGTGCCTTAAAGCTGGATCCTCAGGGGAACAAACCGTGGTTCCACTTTCACTGCTGCTGAGATCTAAATCTTCTAAATAAAGGATCTTAGGCTGATGCATGCTTTTAATGAATGTTTTCTCCCTCTCAAGTTTTCGATTGGAGTGAAGTTCATTCATGTCCACTCCAGAGTCTAGACTGGTGTCATTGCTTTGGGTTCTTCTCCCCTTTTTCAGATCTATAAAGGAATGCCTCACTTGAGCAATTGGTTTTCCATCCAGAGAAACAAACCAGGCCCTGGGGTGTGGTGAGGGCTTTCCTTTGGACAGCTCTAATAGTGTCTGCTCTGAAATGCCTTGAAGTTCAGATGAAAATGGAGTCATCACAACAGCTTCATTCAGTGTCCCTGGAACAGAGACTGACTCTAATAAGCTATTGGAATACCGACTCCAGTCTGAAGTTTGGGATGGTAAGCTTTGTTGAACTTCAGGTGTAATTTTCTCCTCTCTTGTGGCAGGTGGCTGCAAATGAGAATGCACTGGCATTTTGGGTAATGTCTGGGTATAGTTTTCTCGGTTTACTGGCTCCATCAGTTGGCCATAGACTACCTGTCCCTTTCTGGGCAAAGTAGCTGACTTAGCAGAATGCAACTGTTCTGGAGAGTGAAAAAGGTCAGATGTTTGAAGGATGGCAATTGGCTGGCTATAGATATGCATCAGTTGTTCGGGTATATGAGAAAGCCCATACACTTCTTCATTTACTGAAAGATACCTGTTTTGTTCTTGAGTATCACCTGTAGATGGAGAGACATTGCTATTACTGTGTTTTAGTTGCACTATCTGTCTGGATGCAGCATTGTGCTCTAATGACTGGCTTGAGTTTCTTGAATGACTTTTCTGATTGGCTGACAGAAATGAAACTTCTTCATTGTAGATTTTAAAACTGTCCTGAGTTTTCACTTTAGGGACTCTGTCTTCAGGTTCTGACTTTGTAGAATCCTTTTTGCGAGGACTGTATGGGGAATTCTTAGAGTGGTACAACTGTAATCTGTCCTCAGTTTTTAATGGACCCTTCACTGAACTTATATGGTTTATGTGACTTGTTGATGTGGTCTGGTCCTTTTTAAGGACCTCGAGTCTAGTGGCATTTCTTTCCCTTTTTTGTGATCCACCACATTTATCCCTATTTTTAAAGAAAACACAAATAATTGTTTAGAAGTAATCAAGCAGAAAACCTGCTATTTAAATAAGAATCTTCAAAATAATATCTAGAGAAAAATTAGGGCATATTTGGAATATATCTATTTTATATTAGGAAATCATGCATTAAGGAACCAATGTAATCATTATATTTCTGGTTTTGCCAAAGGTCCACATTTACTAACATATCAAACATGCTGAAAGCAAAATGAGCAGTTTACAAAGAATTGTTCAAAATAATTTTTTTTCTGGGTGTTTATTAATGCTCACACACATTAATCAATTTTATTCTTACCTGCAATAACAAAGAAGAACAGCAAAAAAGCCAATGAGAATGACAACTGTACCTCCCAATATGGCTGTCAGAAATACCGTGTGGTAGGCAGTGATATCCTTGGAGACTTCACTTACAAGTGAACCTAAAATATTAAATATAAATATACTCATGCAAAAATGATTTTAACAATAAAACATTTATTTAGCACTAATTTCTCAACTATACTATCTCCTCTGACCTTGAACACTTCTGATATAAAATTTCTCATCTAACTTTTCTATTTAATCTCTACTATCTTCATTTCTTCCCTATTGTTAAGAAATAACAAAACAGCACACTGACATGCCTGTGTCAGTGTACGAATTGCACTAAGGTAACATTTAATATAAATTCACTGAGTCAGACCATAGCAGAAATGCTCTATCTACCCACTGACCCAATGTGTGCCATTTTCATAGAGGTCTATAAATGACTCCATCATGCAGTGATCTTATGAAAGGAAACAAAGATGATATAAACCGCTTTACTTTTCAAGGCAACTGATCAGGAATGATCTAGCCATTCTAGGTACCCAGATAAGGTTAAGAATGATTACTCTGAGCAGATAGATAAACCTCAAGTGCTAACCAAATTTGAGGGGGTTAACACCATCACCTCACCAGTCAGTCAGTCAGTCGGTCAATAAGCATTTATTTATTAAGCACCTACTATTTTCCAGGCAATGTGCTAGAGAAAGAATACCCATTAGGAGGGAGATTCTTCATAGAGGAAGGAGGAAAGGAACAAGCATTTATTAAGCACTTGCTATTTGTCATGTACTGTGCTAAGTGCTTTAAAAATCTTATCTCATTTTATCCTCACAACAGTCCTGGTAGCTAGTTACTCTGATAACTCCCATTTTACAAATGAAGAAACTGACGCAGACAGAAGTTAAGTGACTTGCCCAAAGTCACATAGGTAGTAAGTGTCTGACACTGAAATGAAACTCAGGTCTTCCTGACTCTAGACCCAGGACTCTATCCATTGTACTGCCTAGCTGTCACCAATATTTATCCATACCAAGGTAAAGCCACATAAACTCCTCTGTACTGCAAATGCTTATCCAAGTCAAGTGCTACAGAATAGTGGATTTATTTATGATTAAGCAAAATCTAGGAGTGGGAAAGAGGTGGAAATATGACACTTATAAGGAACACATCTCTTGGCCTCTCCTCTGCCGTTGTTCTTAATTACAAAATGAAGGTAGTGACTCAATTTTTTTTCCCATAGCATCAAGGCTAACTATTCTGCTTCCACAGGATCCCTAGCCATTTAAGGAAGTGATGTAGAGGTGCTCTAGTCCAAAATCCAGATAGGAAAGCAGTGGTCAGAAACTGCTTGAATGATAAAGAGGAAAGTAGGCAAAAGGTAGGCAATGAACATAGAAAGAAAGGATAAAAGTGAATAAGTAGAAAAATGAAAATGTATTTTATGTTCATACCAGTCAGCTCCAATTCCCCAGTGAGGAGAAAATTGGTCTTTCTTCATTCAATACTTATTAAATTTACTTACTTACTAAAATTACATTTTTCCCTAAGAAAGACCACCTACCCTTGAAACCTATTTTAGCCTAGTTTATTATGTTTAACACTTATTTTCAGTTTGAAGAAAATTTCCAATTCTGGTAAAAGACAGAATCTAAGGCAACTGACTTTTAAACTATTAGTGTAAATATAACTAATGTGATGTTGAACACATGAGCACTTATGCCAATATTGGAGTGATTTTTATCAATTCAGTTTTTGGTTTGAGTGTTTAAAGTAAATACGTCACAACATGTGTTCTTTGAACTAAAAGGAACCTTAGATATCATGTAATTACAAAAGCCCTCACTTCACAAAGAAGGAAAAGGTCCTGAAAACACTGGTAAATTTCCCAAGGTTATACAGCTAGTTAGTAGCTGAGCCGAGAGCAGAATCCAGCTTTCCTTACTTCTCCACGTTCTTTTCACTAGTTTATGCTAAAAGAAGAAGGAAAGTAGAACAGAATAGTGGGGAGAAAGCCCCAATCTGAGAGTCAGCATTTACATCCAGGCTCTGACACCTATCAGATGTATGATATTGGGCTAGTCAGATTACCTATCTGGTCCTCCAAGTACCGGCAACCATAAAATGAAGGAATTGGACTTACTGATTCCTAAGGTCTCTTACAAGTCTCAGTCCTAGTGGGGTGGGTTGAGTATCCTCTTACTACTAGTGATCTGCACATAGTAGGCATTTGATGAATGTTTATTGAACTGCTGAACAGAAATGATTTTTAAAATGACAAGCAAGTTAACATGAATTAAAAGGAAATGTTTTGCTTCTATTCATAGTGCTTAAACTACCACAAAATCATCCCACAAGGGATAAGCTGATAACTACATTTTAAAAATGAATACTAAAATAGAACTTTCACCTACTTCAGAATAATACTATATCTTCTATAATTCATAAACTCATCCTCTTTAAACTGATTATTTTAAATCTGTTTTTAGTTAGTGTCATAGTTGTCTACAAGCCTTGACTATTCCTCATGGTACTTGTATTAAAAATTAAATGTCTTGGACCTGGACTAGTAGTAATATCAAATGAAATATTAATTGCTCTTTTCATCAATATTTCATTACACTGGCAAATTAGGATTTGTGTATGGCCAGACAGCTGGGAAGACTTCATGTTATTTTGCATAAATAAATACCAAAAAGAGCCACCTCCTGGGTTTGGATTAAATAGCTTTTTTAAAAGGCTGACTTCAAATGATGAAAAGAAAGAATATACTTTTTGATCACATTAGGTTGATGGACAAATCTCAACAATTGGGCTGATAACTGTTGGCTTCACAAAACAATGTTTTTGGTTTTGGTGGGGATTTTTTTTTAGTAGAGATTATGTCTTAGTTGTAATGAGCTGAATCTTTTATCTTAGTGCTTTTTCTTCTCTATGCTTTTTATTGGAAACAATGTCAATATAAAGTAAGAGTAAAAATAAAACAGAATTCTTATTTTAAAAAAAAAAAATTAAGGGGCAGCTAGGTGGCGCAGTTGATAGAGCACCAGCCCTGAAGTCAGGAGGACCTAAGTTCAAATCCAGCCTCAGACCAAACACTTGACACGTACTAGCTGTGTGACCTTGGGCAAGTCACTTAACCCTGATTGCCTCACCAAAAAAAAAAAAAAATAGAAGGCCCAAGGAAAGCTCTCTACATAACAGATTATAAAATAATTATCTGGTAGAATGCCTTAGAGATAAATGAAAAATCTTGGGGTTTTTTCTAACCTTAGCAATTTTAAAATTTGTTGTACTCCTTTTTGTCACACAAGCAGATTTGAATATGAGAAGGAATTTTTTTTTTTACTTTTAGAATTCATAACTAAGTGAAATCTTCTTAAGACAGATGCCACAGAAGACTGACCAAAAGTGGAACAGGCAGCCTTAGAAGGAGCAAATACCCTATTATTGGGGTTCTTCAAGCAGACATTGTATTATTGTTACTGTTTTATAACTATTTCTGTTAACAATAACTACTTGACTGAGGTCAGACAGCTAGTTAGTAGTCAACCAAAGGCTAGAACCAGGTCTGCTTCCAATTCAATGTCTTGTCCTCTATACCATGATGACTTTTTTAATGTACAAATTACACTGAGTTTATTAAGTCAGATTATGTTCAAACTAAGATATTTGTTTCACCTGGAAATAAACAATCTTTAAAATGTGGCTTATTCATGAAGATTCATTAACAAGGAATAACCAACTTGGACAAATATAAAAATGATTTGTTAGCACTGAATTCCTCTTTACTTTTTAAAGTATTACCTCTGGTTCCAGGAAGTGGTGCTGCAATCCAGTAGCCTAAATGTGGAGCCATATATGTCCATACTAAATGATCATTAAATTTCTTGACCATCCCCAAGCCACGATTTGCCCAAGCACCTGGAAAAGAAACCAAATTATCTCTAATTAGGCAGGAGCCAATTTCAGAGCCTTTTACTTTTAAAGCATCTCTTTCTAAACACAATAGTTACACATATTTTAGGGTTGGTAGAACACATTTTCTGATATCTAGGATTAAATACATGTCAATTCAATATACCAAAATACTTTTTCAAAGAGTATTCTGAAAAATTTGAACTACACAAATGAGATTGGGAGCATAACCCCCTAATTTGAAAAATTTACCCTTGGACAGATGAGATAATGAGGTTTGTGGGAAAACTTTGGGGACTTTTAGCTATGCCTCCCAAAAATCCTAATTTATCACACAAATATTTAAATTACCCCTATTTAGATATCAGATGGTTATAGCTATGGAGCTAATATAGATATAGATCTTAGAAGTCATCAAGTCCAACTCCTTCATTCTGCAGAAAATAAAACTGACGCACAGAGGGGTTGTGACTTGCCCAAAGGGTCACAGAACTTGAAAATATCTGAGACAGAATTTGAACTCAGGTCCTTCTGACTCCAGTTTCCATGCTCTGTGCACAAATGCCACTTAACTGCTTATGTTTGGTCATGGTTAGACCAGCCAATCTATGTTTTTTGGAGATTTCAATAAGCTGTCCCTTGATGTCTTAAGGGGGGTGATTTGCCCCCTTGCTATAGAGTATATAACTAAAACACTCTAGATATTTATTTAAAGATCTTAAATTTACTATTTTGTTTCATTCTAGTAATTATATAAATTATTTAAGGAGATATCTTTCTAAGGCCATCTATAGCCAATGATGTTTTGCTGTATTAAAGGGAAAATTATATATGTATATTATATATGTGTATGCATGTGCATATATATACACATATACACATATATATATGTGTGTGTATATATATATATGCATATTTTTTCCTCCATAAAACTCAGTGATAAAGGGAGATAGGGGGCTAGTAATTTTTTGAGGGTGGAACAGATATGGAAAATAAAATGTTTTTCTTGTATATTATGTTATATATTCATAGCATTTAGCAAAAATATGTGCTCAATAAATAGCTAGTTTTGTAAAATGAATAATTTGCCATAATATTCCCTAATCAATTTATAAAACACTTTAACAGCCTAAAATTATTATTATATACTGAAAATGTGATAAAATGTATATTACTGAAATGTCATGCTATAACATAATATATTTTTAAAGATATTCAATGCTTCATAGAGTCCACATACCAGTTTTCATATCAAATGTCCAAGCAGGTAGAGCATCCCCTGCCTTTGCAGTATTTGGGTCTACAAGGGGGAGAGTAATTTGAATAGAACCATCCACATTTAGTTCTTTTCCACCAGAATATATAGTCACACATATTGCAGCAAGAGGAGTCAATTCAATGCTTTTAAAACCTAACAACAAAACAAAACAAAACAAAACTTTTTTTGCTTCAGAGTATCAAACAGTGTGTGTTAAGGTGCTGTGGAAAAGCAAAGTGAAGAATCAAAACATCAGATTCTTCTAATTTGTCAAAAGCTTTGTTTTTATCCCAAATAAGTACATACAGATCCAACTTTTATCCTTTCATTAGAGGAGCATGTATGCATATTTACATTATGATTCCAAATTAAAATGTTAAATTTTGAAATTCAGTAATTTAAAAAAAATAACAGTGGGTTATATTGAAACCTGATGAACTTTTCTCTGACATACTGCATCTTTGACCATTTTACTATCCATAGAATTGATATTAGTATATACTGAGATTTTAAATTCTAAAAAGGAATTAACAAAACATTTGCTAATATAGTTGTGACATTCTACTGTGTCAGCAGTTTTTTGATATTTTATCATAATGATACCTCTTAAAACTTTGGAAGATACATATTAGTTCTATACAGTAAGTAGAAAATAAGTTTTCCCTCATTATTCTCCTTTGATCACTCACACTGTCAAATAGAATAGCACTATATACTTCAAATATTGAAAATAAATTGTGTGATATGATTCTTGAAAAAAGAAAATTTTCAAGTATCTGCATAATTAGATATGTCTATTCAGGTGCACCTTATACAGAAAACTGATTTATATTAAACAGAAATTAACTTCTATTTTCTCACAGAAATAGAACTCTCTAAATTTAACCACTTTAGTAAAAATCATAGAAAGCATATGTAAAACAGTATTTACAGTTTCCTAATATGAAATAATATATTTTCTTTTTTTAGCTCAACTCTTGCCTCTTTTGCTCAAAAAGAGAGAAATGAAGTTTTGAATGTCCATAACATTGACAATTGTCTATAATGGAAAATAAGGAAAAATACCAATCACAAGCTAGAAAAAAAATCAATAATGAAGCAGATTTAATTCTTTAAAAAGATAAATGAAAACAAATATAAAATGTGATCTAGACTACTGACGTTGTCATACATTTTAATTTTTGGAAAAGTCAGGTATCTGGCTCTAGGAAGTTGCCCCTCCTTTTCCATTTTGGCTATATCTAGACAGTGCTTTCATGCTTTCATTTAAGCATAGCCTAGGGAAACTGCCCTACCACAACTCTCAGTCTATAACCAACCAACTAAAGCAGATGCGAAGAGGAATAGAAAAGAGGAAGAAAAAAGAAGAAAAGTGACTAGTAGGTACACAAAGGGAAAAGAAATGAAAGAAAAAAAGGCTACATATACAGCAATATGTCTCCAAAGTGTATAAAAGTAAGCAAATACATCAATAGTGATGTTCATTCATTTGCCTTTATTCAGTATTAAGGACTGGGATTTTTTTTCCTCCATGCCTTTGGCATCTTCACCTCTTTCAGGTACTTTACATGTCAATATCTAAACTCCCTGAAGATTATATTACCACCAACGCTAATTTCCTCATTTCACTAATTCACTTGGTCTGTACATCTGGTTTAACCATCTTTATTTTCTTTAGTATCACTGTTAGTGCCATATTTGAGCTCAAGCATGGTGGAATATCCTTGCTAGTAAAAACAGTTTGTTATAATAACCTTTGCTAAGTTTTTCCATTTTCTTCTGTTTGTTACTCTTTATCAATTTTTGTTAAATGTCTTTGAGATGATTCTGCTCAGTTGAGTCTCATGCCAAACTTGCTTTAAACTGCTTTTACTCTCCACTGCTTCTATATGCTTTATGAGACTATACTTCTCATAATTATCCATCATCCTTCTTTATAAGATTTTAAAAACAAGTTTATGTTGTAAACCAATGTTGTCTTTGGATGACATCTCTCTGCATACAAGAGAATCAAGTACTTGATTTCTTTAAGTAAGAGAAAGTTTTACTATAATTTACTCTAAAATATTACAGTCCCTGAATCTCAATTACATACAAACAAAACATTTAACTGTCTTATGTGATTTTACTGTCATTGTAACAATTACAAAGTTTGAAATTATTTCTTTAGATCCATGGTCTCAACAATGCTATTTTCCCCTATCATTATAGACTGCAAACCATTTGTGTCTTTTCATCCTGACCATGTATTTCTATAGGAACTTCAGCAAGGATTTAACCAAAATGTTAGAGGCCTTCATGAAAGTCTTTTTGAAAGTAATTCATTATTTATTTTTAACCTTCTTTTCTTCATTCACTTTGTTTTTTATGGTGCTCTTTGGGCATAAAAAAGTACACTGGAAATGAAATTCACATTAATTTCAAATAGAACTATAGCAAGTACTGTAGGGAGCCAATTGCACTTTTAGATAAAAGGAAGGCTGACAAAGATAATTTGATAATAAATACAGGATTCAAGGTGATATGAATTACTCAACTTCAAATATGTACCTAAGCACCACATCTCTACATTTACTCAAAAGTGTGAGTGATGTGCTTATGTCCTTATAATACATTTAAATCCAATGACAAGACTAAGAATAACATTGAATACCTGATTTATTAAGAAGAATTCCAGTTGTGTAAAGAAAATTGTCTACTTTCAGAAACTGTTGTAGCACTGTAAGATAACCCGTGACATTACTAATATGATGGCTGCTGGGAAGTTTAATTAAACCCTTTGGAAACTGTACACTTGGTTGAGATTTGGCATCTGGAAAATAAAATTATTTTTATTTAGCAAACTGAAATTAAGTAAACAAACCATTGAATTGGAAATAAATGTAAAACAATGCCATGAATTAGTATTTGTACATAAATCATTCTTCTCTAAAATTTCTTTCTTTATTTGTAAAATTAGGAAAGCAATAAAAGTGCCTTCTAAAAGGGAGTACAAAGAAATAATCTTTCCTAATTCCTAATTCAATGCAACTGCACATATCAGTGCTTTCTCGCATAAATGAAGGTAACTTGCAGTTTGGGAGTAGTTGGGCCAGGAATCGGGATTTTCATCAGTGTTGAGAATTCACAGTGTAGGGAAAAAAAGAAGCAACCTCTTTCCCATGCAGATTGTCAATTTGTCTGTAGCTTATAGTGTTAGAGAATTACCTGGGAGTACTGAGAGATGAAGTAGCTTATCTATGGTCCCAGAGCTAGTATATGTTAAGGGTACTACTTGAATCCAGGTCTTTTGACTCCAAGGTGGACCCTTTCTCCACTACCACACATTGCCTCTCTGATTTGTACTTAATGATCCATCAATAATTACTCTTATGTTGGTTTTTGTAGTTATACCTTCCCTGAGATCCAGGTCACTTCATTGTAGAAACTTTATTCTTCTTTGGAAGCAGTATGGTATAATGAAGAGAGAGTTGGCTTTGGAATTAGAAAGACCCAGTTTCAATTCCTGCCTTCAACACACTAGCTGTGTGACCATGGGTAAGTCATTTAATTTCTCAGGGTCCCAGGCAACTGGCTAAAACTATAAATAATAGAGAAGTCACCCATTTGTATTGGTGAAGGGTGGTCCCCAGATTGTAAGTTATTGCACATTGATAAAAATCACAGGTCCAGACCCAAACAAACCCCTAAAACCACAAAAATATCCTCTATCTGTGTATCTAATTGTAAATAGATAGCCAGATAAATAATTCTCTAAAGCTATAAACTATAGATAAGTTGGCATCTGCTTGGCAGGAGTTTGTTTCCACACAATGAGTTGTCAACACTGATGAAATTCTAATTCCTGGCCCAACAACTCCCAAACTGCAAGTTACCTTCAATTACTCTAGAATGCACTAATATGTGCAGTTGGATTGAAGAGTGGTGGAAAAAAAAGGGAAGAGACCCTAAAGGTTTTGGGTCTACCCAATTTGGCTAATCTAACTAGATAAATGTGTATTTGCATTGAAGAGCTATATGTTTATCATAAGTCTATTTCTCACCTCTGATAAAAACAATAATGATTTTCATACTCAAATAATGACTAAGAAAGCAATAGGTATGCACTTTCTTAGCTTACCTCACAAAGCAAAACCACAGACCTTTAAGAATATTGGATAGAAAGCTAAATAATCTGCATTGATATATTTGAATTTTAAAAAGAAGATACTCATGCATTTCTTGATAATGCCTAGCCTTATAACAATTTCAAAATTCAATTTAGAAATAGTTAGTTGTTTGGAACCCAGAACCAAGTTTACCTTGGAAATAGTGTTATACATGGGGTTTACGTTTTTAAGAAAGTTCACAAAAGCCTATTTAACTCACAGATAGATGGACCAATACTTAACATTACTGTAGGACATAAGTGCCATTTATCATATTGTTTCTACATGCAAACTCATTCAGATATATACTGTGGGACCCTAGGAACAGATCTCCTGTCAATGTAACCCCATCTCTTTCCAACTAAGCTTAGCTGTGGAAGAAGAGATTGTCTTCTCCATAAGCCACAACATGGGCATGGGGGTCCTGATGATCTATAGTCAAGAGAGAATGAAGGAGGGAAGAAAAGAGCATTCTAGACATCACTAGTATCAGCAATGAGGGTCTCCTATGCCTTTAGAAATAGTGGAGAGGGGACTTCCAGCTCAAGAGAATCATTTAAAGGTACATGGCATTACTTAGTGAAGTGTTTTTCTGCCTCTATTCAGAGCTAGTGGGAGACAGTATACTTGGGGGAAAATAGCCAGCTTACTATTTGGCACACAAAAAAGTTATGAAAACAATTTTTAAAAGCTTCCAACTTTTCCATTAAACTCTACTGTGTGGTTATCTTACATACCTAAGTCATTCCTCTTGATCCCTCATTCCTGAACATTTGCCACTTTAAGAATGGAGCCAATTTCAACTAACCACTTAGTATTTATTGTGCATATGATAAAATGTACACTATCATCATAACATAGATTTTTAAAATAAGCAAGTGTCAGTAAATATATCTAGTACTAGCTCTATCTATTCTGTTAGATGATTTCTTAGACCTAATTAATCTAGCTTATTAATAAAGAATTTAAATTACATAAAATAATTACTTTACATAATAGATTAAGGAGTGTTGTACTTACCAGATGATTTTCCAGTAACTAAAACAGTATCTTCAAATAGCCATATATTAGCTTGACTTTGAGGGAACAGTGAAAGTGTCACTGATGAATATACTGTGAAATGTAACACATTTAGAATATTTTATTAAGTTCAAGAAAGCTGCATCAAATTTAGTTCTGTTCCAACAGCTCTGAAAAGTGTTGAACAGACCAACTGTATGATAAGAAAGGCAACTGCAAACTCAGGAAAAACAAGAATGCAAAATATGATGGATGGAGGAAAAAAGGAAGATGAAGACAGAATAAAGAAAAAAATCAGAGTAGATTATTATGATGATATCTACTGAAGTCTAGTAGTTTATTTGCTGTGATATATAAACTTATTCCAAAGTACTTAAGGCATGTTATTTGACATAAGACTTCCTTGTGTGGAGTACATAAGGTACTGGACTTGGAACATGAAGACTGCTTTCAAACCCTGCACCTGAGACACTAACTATGTCACCCTGGGCACTTCACTTAACCTCTCTGTACCTCCTAATTTTTAAATGTGAAATGATGGAGTTGGACTGGAAGTCCTCTAAGGTCCAGGCAGAACAAAGCCTAATCAGTTTTGCACATAATATCCTTTCAAACACTTGAGGAAGGCTATTTTTTCTACTCACCTAATTCTTTCTACCAGTTCTTTCAATCAATTTTCCCATGACATTTATCATTCTGAATGCCTTCCTTTAGATAATATCTAGATTCTCAATATTCCTTCTAAAATGTGCCACCCAGAACAGAACACAATACTTTATTTTTCCTAATCCACACACCATATACCAGCACTGTCATAGCCCTCTGGATTCCATTGATAGGTAGGTACTATTATGATATCCCTTTTACAGTTGCTGAGACAAAAATACAGCCTCTTTAAGCTAAGTGATTTCGCTTTTGTTTCAAAATCTTCTGAAATGAAAATATAGTTAAAATTCAAGTTAGGTGGTATGGTTTTTGTTTCAAAAGTATTCATAAACAGCGATATTTCTGGCCCCATCCACTCAAAATGCAGCCATAAGAAAGAAAGGGAGCTTTACTAGTCTGTTAATACCTATCTAAGCAGCCAGAACAACTATATCAAGTAATTTGTTTCACTGTTTTTATTTTATTTACTTAGTATATAACTACCATGTACCTAGTACTATGAAGTATAAAAAATGATTATAGGATGTTTCTTGTGTTCTTGTATGTATACATGTAGTTGTTTCCCTGTTGTCTCTCCCATTAGAATATAACCTCCTTGAAAACCAGGACTGTTTTTTCCTTTCTTTATATATTCAGGGCTTAGTAGAATATCTTGCATATGGTAAGTGCTCAATAAATACTTGTTGACATGGCTTGACTTTAAGGATTTTATAATCTTGTTGGAGAAAGAAAACTAATTCTTGTGAAGCAATCATTAGAAATTCAAGAATAAACATATGGATTTTGCTTGTGATTTCACAGGTATAGATCTCTCTGGTGAAGAAAATCAACTAACACAAGTTATCACCTTGTCTGTAACTTGGAGTCTTAGAGAGTTACCTAGAACATTGAAAAGGTAAGTGACTAGTATCCAAGATCACACAGCTGATATGTGTCAGAGAGAACATGGCTTCTTGGCTCCGAGGTTGGCTCTCTATTATATCACAATTACTCGTAAGCAATCAAAAACAATATATAATTATACCCTACACTGTGTGGCATAGAATATAAATACTGAAGGAGATTAGAGCAGATAGAAATAGATCAATATAGATTAGTGCACTTAGAGAAAACTTGATGGAAGAGGTACATGAACAAGGCCTTGAAGAATGAAGACAAATATTTATACAGGTTGAAGAGAACTGGAAGGCATTTATACATTGTTTTAAACAATTTTACCAATAACTTGCACTATGCATGCCAATAAAGTAGAAATTACCACTTATTTCCCCGAAATGGACAATTTACTTGAATACATACTTTCTTATAATTAGGATCTACAGCTATAAGCTTTTTTACATGAATTTTGTTGAAAGTTTTTTAAAAGTCTTTTCAAAATAGCATTTTAATAAAACCATAATAGAGGGTAAAAATCCCTCTTGTTTTGCTTTAGACTGTCATTCAGTCCTGACATATTTAGGTTAGCTTTGTGGAGCTATATTCAGTTGACAAGAATAACGTGGATTTTTTCAAAGAAGAGGAAAAAGTTAATTAGTAATATTCTTAAAGGGCTTACTTGGCATTCTTCTGGTCTTCCAAGGTAATGGTGTTAGCAGGTAGCCATTTTTGTAAGCCGTGATAGTCAAGCTGACACCTAATTTATAGGGAACTTTTATTAACACTGCTCCATTGTTTCCAGTTACGGTAGAATTTGTCTTTGTGTAGTTCACATAGACTTCTACAACTGCTTGGCGTAGGTACTGACGACTGATGATATCATTCACGTGGACTTTCAGTAAAAACAGAGATACTAAAAGGAAAAAAAGAAGCCCGATATTAGTATTTAAGTATGTTCTATGCTGGAAGATATGTGTTGTAAAATACTATCCAAAATCATTTCTTGTACATTGGCCCAGAAAATTAATTTGTGGAATTTGAAATATTTGCTCCCATGTCTATCCATAATATATATCTCTTTTAACCTAACAAAAAATATTTGCCACAACTGGAATCTCTTTTCAAAAGGAAAGAAAGAGAAATATGGAAAGAATGATATTTTGTCTCCAAAAAACATGCAATTTTAAAACATTTCAATGAGCTACATAAAACTGTGTCAAGTTAATTCCAATTCTTGCCAACAAGGAACAGGGCATACCTCCACAGAAACTTGTTCATTTATATTTATGGCCTTTAAAGTACTGATTTGGTAATATTCTTCATAAGACCAAAAGGAATTTTCTGGTACTGAATGTGACAAATATAAGGCTGTGTTTACCTATGAGACAAAAGTATGTAAAAATAAGCACTGACTAATGGCAACAAATTCATTTCATATTATACTTTTCAACATGCATCTTAGCACCATGGCTAATGATGCTTTCTTTTCAATTAGTGGGGGAAAGAGTTTTACAATATTTTTTAAAAACTACTTCATAAACCATAGTTAAATGAAAATAAGATTCAGGGGAATTTGATTCCTTTAAGTATTTGAAAAGCTGTCATGTGGAAGAAGGCTAGACTTATTCTGTTTGGCCCCAGTGGTATCGAATGAGGTGAAAGTTGTAAAGAGGCAAATTTAGATTCAGTCAGAAAAAACTTCCTTAAAATAGACCTGTCCAAAAGTGGAATGCAGTACTTGGAGAAGTAAGGGGTTTCCCTTTCACTAGAACTCCTCGAGCAAAACCTGGACGATCACTTATAGAGTATGCTATAGTGAGAGTTCCTGTCTTACATGGATTAGCTAACTATTGAGATCCTTTCCAACTCTCAAATTCTCTGATTCTGTAAACAGGACAGTTGATTTAATCCTGACTACTTATATTACAGGATCTCACATTCATCTGTCACCTTACAAAGTATTTTCAACACAAAAACTCTTTGAGGTAGGTGATATAAGTACCATCATTCCCATTTATGGAGATCAGGAAGCTGAGTCTCAGAAGTCATTTGACTTACTCTTGGTAATTGTTATCTACCCTATTAAAATATAAAGTCTTTGTGAATAGATATTGTTTCATTCATTATACTTGAATTCTAAGACTAGCGCAGTAGCTGATACATAGTAGGTGCTCAATAAATACTTGATCATGTACACCTCATAAATGGCAAGACCAACACTTGAGTTCAGTTTCCAATAAAATTCACTGTTCTTCCCTTACTATGCTATCTCCCCCATAGTGATGGTGTAAGAGTGAATTGACCTTTGATTTTTCTTTAAAACCATAAAATAAACAAATTACTGACAATCTTGACCAAGGAAAACCCTGCTGGTAAATTTTTAGTCAACCTTACTTATTCTAAATATTTTATTGGCATAAGGTAGATTTTTTTTATTGTATGAGAATTGCTGTTGTTTTTAATGCAAAAGTAAAAAAAAATTGTCTTCCTGTCCTAAGGAAGATATAAGCCAGCAAGTTTGAAAGAAGAGCCCAGCTTTCATTCTTTTCATGGAGAAAAGAAAATGTTATGCAAAACAATGTTCTCTATATGCACATAGGAAAAAATTTTTGTAGTTACAAGATGCTTAATCTTATGTATAAAAGCTGTGGGGCAGCTAGGTGGCTTAGTGGATAGAGTACCAGGCCTGGAGTCAGGAAGACTAATCTTCCTGAGTTCAAATCTGGCCTTAGACACTCGTTAGCTGTTTGTGGCCCTGAACAACTCATTTAACCCTCTTTGTCTCAGTTTCTTCATCTGTAAAATGAGCTGGAGAAGAAAAGGGTAAATCACTCCATTATCTTTGCCAAGAAAACCCCAAACGGGATCACGAAGAGTCAGAAACAACAAAAATAAAAGTCCATGCCTACTTTTTTTCATCTAACAAAAAGTGAATCTTGGTTTGGAAGTGAATTGCAGAAATTTTTTTTTTCTTTTTTCTTTTTTTTTGGCTGGGCAATCAGGATTAAGTGACTTGCCCAGGGTCACACAGCTAGCAAGTGTCATGTGTCTGAGACCAGATTTAAACTAAGGTCCTCCTGACTCTAAGGCAGGAGCTTTATCCACCAGAAAGAAACTTATTAAAGAAAGAAGGCCTTTATGGTCAGGCCTTTACTGTGGGGTTTCATCATTCTGCTGGAACCTGCACAGATATTCTGAACATATCAAACATATACACTCCAAAATAAATATAAAAATTGCCTTGTAGAGCCAAATAGAAGTGATACTTGTGCTCCATTCCATTATCATAAATAATCAAGATAGGATTATAATTGGTTAATCTTAATACCCCCTATATATGAAATGTCATTACTGTTTTACTATTTTGTGTTGAGAAAAGATGTCTATGAAAGAATTTGGAAATGGGGTATGCACAAGCTCTCAACTCTATCTGTTCCTCCAATAATTTGATCTTACTTTTCAGACATTTATCATTAACTTGACATAGTATCATTGATTCATGCTAAAATAAGTGACATAAAATTTGTAACAATTTTAAAATCCATACAGCATTCTTTAAATCACTATTTTAGTATTAAATAAATTAGTATCATAAATAAAGACAACATTAAGGCTTTATTCAAAACTAAACTTTTAAATAGCAACTATTTGTCCAATTTAAAAGAATCCTCATAAGGGATTTTTAAATTTAAATTTTAAATCACCAAGGGGGAAACAAAGGATATGACCTGATTGGACTATAAACCAAATGTATTCAAACAAGCCCATTCATTAGAAGTAACATACATCCTATATGTCTGCTGTAGTTTTTCCCTTCATTTTTAGGCTTAAAAATTATTTCTCAGTAGACATTTTCAAAAGGAAGAAATAGATCTGATTAAAAGAGATAAAAAAGTAAAATGCATTTTGCTGAAAGGTACTATACACAAGGAGTTAATTTCCATATGTAACATACATGAACCAAATGGCAAAACATCTAAAGACTTAAAGAAAAAGATAAAGGAGGAAAGGGGAGAAATAGACAATAAAATTATAATAGTGAAAGACCTCAATGTACTGTTATCAGCCTCAGTTTATTTAATAAAAAAATTAAGGTAAGGATATGAATACAATTTTAGAAAAAATTAGATATGATAGATTTCTGGAGATAGAATTATTTTAATGGTAATAGAAAAGAGTATATCCACATGCCTGAGATGTGCTTGGCCCATTTACAAAAACTTACTATGTAATAGAACATAAAAACTTCAAAAACTAATGTAGAAAAACAGAAATATTAAATATATCATTTATTGGCCACAATGAAGGAAAATTATATTGAATAAAGGGCTCTTGAAACAAGGATTAAATGTTAACTGGAGATTAAACAATTTACACTTAAAGAGTCAAAGAATAAGACATAGAAAGAGTAGATAACTTCATTAAAGATAATGACATCAATGAGAAAATGTATCAAACTCTGGACATGCAGCCAAATCACTCTTTAGGAAGAAATTTATATCTCTAAATTTTTTTATCCAAAAAAAAAAGAGAGAGAGGGAAAACAGAGCAGCCAATTAGGGATGTAATTTTCTAAAAGGCTAAAAAAAAATTTAACTCGAACACTAAAATAGAAATCTTGACAATCAAAGAAAAGATTAATAATATTGAATTTTTAAAATTAAACTGATAAATTAATCTAGGAGTGATAGATAAGCCATTAGCTAATTTGATTTAAAAAGAAATAAGATCAAAATCACATTACCAATATTAAAAATATAAGAGGAAATTTCACAAAAAATGAAGAAATAAGTGATATTATTATAAATTATTTTGCCCAACTGTATGTAAATAAAACCAACAAATTAGATGAGTGAATATTTACAAAAACATAAAATACTGAAATGAACAGAACAAAATATAAAGACTTTAAGCAACATAATCTCAAGAACAATCCATAAATGAACTCCCAAAGAAAAGCCCAAGATCAGATGGCCTTAAAAATAAAGTCTACCAAGCAATTAAAGAAAAATTCATTTCAATATTGCACAAAGTGTTCACACAAAAAAAAGAGGAAAAGGGTGCCTATCAAATTCCTTCTATGACATAAACATTGTCTTGATACATAAACCAGACTTTAAAAAAAAAGAAAACTATAGACCAATATCCCTAATGAAAAAAATGCAAAAAATATAAATAAAATTAGCTGACAGGCTACACTCACAAGATTATCATAAATATTATACACTATTACCAGGCTAATTTGATATCAATAATGAAGGGCTGGCTCAATATTAGGAAAATTATCTACACAACTGACCATATTAATAATAACAATCAAAGTCATGATTTATCAACAAATGCAGAAGAAAAGCTTTGATCAAAATAAATCGCCTATTTCTTTTTTTAAAACTCTAGAAATATAGCAGTAATGGATTTTTTCCTTTACATGATAGGTAGTATTCATTAAAATATGATAGGGGCAAAGCAAGGAAATATTCTCTTACCACTATTTGGTACAGTACTAGAAAGGTTAGCTAGAGTAGTAACATAAGAAAAGCAGATATATAAGCACATATATATATAAGATATATAAGCACAAAGAAGAAACAAAATTTTCGTTTTGTACACGATATGATGGTTTACTTAGAGAACCCTAGAAGGCCAACTAAAAATTAAACAATAATTTTAGTAAAGTCACAAGGATGTAAAATAAATCCATATAAATCATCATTTTTATATAACAACAACAAAACCCAGCAGGGAGAGAAAAAAAGAGAAATTCGTTTTTAAAATATCTATAGAATATATACAATTCTTGAAAGACTTTCTTGGGAGATCAAGATAACATGGGAACTATATGAACTTTATAACTACAAAACAAGATTTATTATAATAAAGATAGACCTAAATAATCAGAGAAATATTGTTTGT